TACATTTAAGCAACGAGTGAGTGAGTGAGTTAAAACTTAAAGTCCCATCGGCAGTATTTCAGCCATATCGAGACTATGAAAATTCCATAGAAAGGTAAACTTAATCAATATAAATATCTGACAACGAAGGAAAGCAAAATAGCTATACTATCACAGATGGACATTTATAACTAGCATGTAATCATAAAAATGATACAGTGAGTGAGTTTAGTTTTACGCCGCACTCAGCAATATTCCAGCTATATGGCGGCGGTCTATTAATAATCGAGTCTGGACCAGACAATCCAGTGTTCAACAGCATGAGCATCGATCGCAATTGGGAACCGATGACATGTGTCAACCAACTAACATTTTCTTAAACCTGTATGTGTAATATACCAGTTGATAATTACCAGTCCAATAAATATGCCCCCAACCACCACCACCACCACCACCACCACCACATATACACTCTATAATCCACGCTTTGTGGCGCTCAGAAACGACCCGTGAAGGTCCGGGTTAGAATGAACCTTTAGTAACCCATGCTTGTCGTAAGAGGCGACTAACGGGATCGGGTCAGGCTCGCTGGCTTGGTTGACGCATGCATCGGTTCCCAATTGCGCAGATCGATGCTCATGCTGTTTATCACTGGATTGCCTGGCCCATACTCTATTATTTCCCGCTAATGTCTGTTTTATGATACAAAATAAATTAATATGTACTTGTCTGAATGCTTGATTCACTGGGACCGATAATATAGAAGTCTCTGCACTGGTTTTGCTAACCAGAAAGTTTCCCTGGCGTAATTGTCTTTAACGTTTCACGTTGAGACTTATCGTATTTGATTGAGAAACAAGAGTATTATATGTACGCTTCTATAAATCCTCACATGCAATAACGTTCACTCAGAGGTGTGTTTTGACTTGGGTTTGGTACACTTGTTTCATCATCGATAAGGTCAATATAGTTTTCAGCATCTAAACGCTGTTTCAAGAGCGGGTGCCTGTGTATATCATACAACTTTAGACCCTGTTCCTACACATTCCTGCCCAACGTTTTCAAATCGCTTGAATCTTAAAACTTCAAATAAAACATGGTTGTAACGTTTGAGTGTCAGTCTGTTTAACAGTTTCTGTTTACCCACAGTTATGGAGTTGTGTGTGCGCCTACATATGTTTGCTGTAGTTTATCTCATGATTCATGACGCTATACTGTCATACAAGCTGTTCCAAATACTTGGCCCATGCACATTTATGTTCTCACTCTGAGACCGCCTCCGTGGTGTAGTGGTAAGAGCGTCCGCCCGGAGAGCGGAAGGTCGCGGGTTCGATCCCCGACCGCGTCATACCAAAAGACGTTAAAATATGGTACTTGTTGGTCCCTGCCTGGAGCTCGGCATTAATGGGTACAACAAAGACTGATCGGCTCGGAGTCAGTAAAATGTGTCTGAGTGGGGTATTCATGCTTCACTGCGGCATGGTATCTCAGTGGGCTAGCACTATAAAACCAGCTTCAGTCTGGGCTAGTACAAGCAGCCGCATATACACATACACACGCATGCAGGTCGTCATATGAGCGAAATATTCTCAAGCACAACGTTAAACCCAATTTCACCTCAACCTCACCTTTCTCACTCTGAGTGAGTGAGTGAGCTTTTAGAAATCTAACAGAAGAATCTAAGGCTAAGGTGACCACAGTTAGATTCCCCTGCGAATCCAGCTCGAAATAACTTTCATGACAGTTGAAGAAAAACCCAGCTTGGTTTCTGTGAATCCTTCAAAGACGGATCCAGAATTATGAAACAGTCACTATGTCACATGTCGAAAGGATGAAGCTAACATATGAAGTAGCAGAAAAAAGAGAATCTGTTGACAAGAAATCATTATAATGTTCAAAGAACGATATTTTTGCTGACATTATACATATATTATTTAAAATACTATAATTAAAATGAAAATAGGTCTCCAAACTCCCATCCCTATATATATTCCCTTGCTATTTAACAGTTTGAGAAAACAACTCTACCATGCAAAACACATTAAATCTTGAGGCCTTATATCTAAGATGTAAGTTCAATATACTCATATAGACTTTCACTAAACAGTCACATTTCTAACCACTTTAAATGTATGTTATTTTGAAGTAATGGCACTGAATTGCTTCAGCTCCCAAATACTGTTAAACGACTGACGTTCAAACGTGACAGACATGTTCTAAGATTCAAGCGATTTGAACAAGTTTACCTGCAATGTGTAGGAACAGCGTCTAAAGTTGTCTTATATACACCGGCTCCCGCTATTCAAACAACGTTTAGATGCTGAACAATATATTCACCTTGTCGATGATGAAACTGGTATTTCTTACATGGAAACTTTAGAAGTTTAGAAGTGTACACAACTCAAGTTTTACTTGGTTTATTCAACAAAGAGACGAAGGCCATCGGCCCATGGCACAGCATTTGTGCAGCAGCCACAATACCTATTGCCTACATTAACGGTTTTGTTCTCAATTGCATAGACTTCTCAACATACTTAGCCAACTTTTTTCTAAGATCAATTCTATCACTGGACATTAATAGATTAAACTTACCTAATGTTGAAAATAAATAATATTTCCTTGGAATAAACTGTTCTCAAATCGACATACGCCTAGCATACAAAAAGTGGTACTCATCTTCGACATAGTCCATTTTACAAACATCACAACATCTTTTCTTGGGACATTTGAATGTCTACCATTTATTTGGTGAGAATTACATCTAAACTCAGCTAAAGCGGCACGAGATTTTTGAATAGTTATATGCTTAATATAATACTCTTGATGTAAGTTAGACTGATACATAGAGTGATTATATGTTTTAGAAACCTTGTGACAATACATACTGATACATACATTTAGCTCTATCTATAAATTCTGATAAAACGACTGAATATTACTAATGCACTGGTTATCCTAAACATAGCCAAATCCCAATTTAATTAACACATTTCGGAATTTTAAAGCACAAGTACATTTACCACGACTCATATCTAATATTAACATGTTATAACACTTCTTGAGTAAGCGTGAGTTTGGCCTAAACAGTTTATACCAATACTTTATACAACGCTTAAAGGCAAAGATATATACCGGATATCGCCCACACTCACCACGAACGACATGGTTTGAAGTTGACATTTTCACACTAAACATATTTACATGCTTGAACACCTTCAATAGCACTGCTAATCTTACATTCAGAATCAAAGTCTAGTCCCCATATTCCATATTGACACCACTTTAACCTGGAATAAGCAGTTTGGTAGTTCATGGTTGCAATCTAGAAAAGCATTATTTGGTGCCGAGACTTAAACCATTACCATATGATGTTTTCTTTAAGTTTTTTTTATAGTAAATTCCGAGAAAATACCACACCTATATACATATAAGATGAGACACATTCAATGAAATTGCCCTCAAAATACCAGTTTTCGCCCCTTGAAAGAACTCTGTCGATTTTAAAGTCAAAACACATCTCTGAGAGAACGTAACTGCTTGTCAGGATTTCTAGAAGCGTACATATAATAATCTTGTATGTCGTTCATAATGCTTAGATTTCTTCAAGTGAGATATTTTATTCCATTACGATACGTCTCTTCGTGGAGATTACGCCAGGGAAACTTTCTGATCAGCAAAATCAGTGTTGAGACTTTTTTATTATCGGTTGCCAGTGAACCAAGCATTTAGACAACATTTGTATTTTGTATCCCCAAAACAGACACCGGCCAGAATGCAGAGCTATTAAAGTGTGGATATTTGTATAGATCATGTCGTTTCTGAGCGCCATGACATCTACACCCAAAAGCCTGCGCTATAGAGGAGTGTATATGTGTGTGTTTTGTGGCTGTGTAAGAGCAAAATAACCAACTCTGCGGCATATTTATTGGACTGATACATATTGCCGATGTGAGGCTAAATATCTACTCACACACTCACTGTTGGACTTGTAATTAACACCGGTAACCCAAATGGCCTATTCAACAGGCCCTTTACCATATTTACAAGTATAACAGTTTCAAAATGTGTTCCACCGTAAAGACTTAAATGCCACAGGCTGCCTATAAATGCCCAACAGACATACTGAAATACTGCGCTTTATAAACAATAACAAGGTCTGAAACATCTTGTAAATAATATTACTTAGGAGATAAACATACTGCGTTTGGAAATATGATAAATGTTAGGCCGAATTGATAACCGATTTATAATCGAACTTCTTCGTTCCGCGGAAGACACTGCGTAATCCGACATGGGACGAGACACACAACGGCGCAGTGATTATACAAGTACTATGCTGGTCGCATGGAACTCTGGGTAGGAGAGTGGGGACGAGAGGCGAATTGAACTCTTCTGTGAGGGGAGTAGTAAGTGCCCTCCGTATTGTTTTCTAACATTGCAACATAGAAAATATTCTACTGTTTAGTCAATGCAATAATAAAGTACCTAAGAGCTTGGATTTGATAAGCCCACCTATACACGACCGAAACCAGCCTATTATATTATGTGTTGTATTATCGGGGGCGGAGGGGGGCGGAGGGAGGTGGGGATTTTCCAGGGGGCATCACCCCTTGAAAATGACTAAACACCACATTGAAGTTATTGTTAATGTTTTGCATTCGCAGAGGGGCATTCGCAGGGCCGCTTTGAAAATTCCAGGACCCGCCTATGGCTGTGGCACTGTAACCCCCCTGAGAACACTATGATGGAATCGTCTGACCTATTTCTACTCTTGCTTGGAAGTAGTTGCTGACAGTTACGCATCAGTTGGAAGTGGCGGACGAGCCAGTGTTAACATTTTGCGAAAGGTTGTAATCTGAACCCAGCAGAATCAAAGAATAGATCCATTTCTGATCGACCAACGAATCAGGGTTGTAACTCATCAAAAACGGTTGATTATTATGACCGACGAGTTTCGATCATGATTTCACGTACTTGCCTCTACCTCGGAATGTGACAGTGCTGGCCTAACACAATTTTCATTCTTGGGATTTTGGGACAGGATTGTAGCCAAGCGGTGACAGCCTTGAGGAGCAGCTGGCAGAAAGCAGAATTCTGGTTCAGTTTTTTACATGTAGAGTCTATTTTGTGAACGATGCAACGAGACAGGATGGGAGTATGAGTGGCATAAATTTGGTATTTCGCCTGACCATTTTTTGGGCGAATTTCCGCATAAAAGTGTCGAAGGTTTCAAACTTGCTGGATATCTCATGTTGTGTAAACCATTCTAAACAGAAACACATATATCGTTTACCAGGTAGGCAAATGTTACTAACGTTTTCTGTAAATTTTGTATAAATAGGGATGTATTTTTACAAGGCTTTCTGATTCATAAGTTAGACATTGCTTGTTTATGTTTGGGGCTGTACATTGTAATTGAGTTTGAATATTTTTATAGAAGACGGTAATATGATAGTGAGGTTCTTTAATAACTGTGGAGGAAAAATAATATAATTGTATTTTTTTGTTTTAATATATGTTTTATTACCATTTCCATCACGTCTGTTGTGTTGACATTAGCCATGTTTGTGGTCAAGCCGAAGTAGTGTTGTATACGTGAGCAGTGAAGCGGTCATGAAATCAGACGCAGTTTCAATTCAAATTGAAAGTGTCTAATTTTATTTATTGTCCAATCAATTTCGAGTATTTCACGTAATCATGATAAAATGCTGATTAGATCTAACTTGCGTATGGTTGCCATTGTATATGTCCTCCATTCCGCCAGGAGAACTAGCCTTGCTGGGTGCTGTGTCTCTCGGGTACACTCTCCACCCGAGAACATCCCGAAGATGGGGACATGTCAGGGGAGTTAGCGGGCCAGTCTCATGTCCATATGCTTGGGAATAGGAGATAAATGGCGAAGGTCTGGTCACGACATGGTCTGGCATTGTTATCTGGTACTTCAAAATGTCTACAGAAAATTGCAGGAAATAGAACGACAAGACGCAAAATTCCGTCAACGTCAGTTGGCCTGTCATGTGTGATATCGCCCCACACCTAGATCCTTTTGTCACTTCAGTGTAGTACTGTCTCTGAGACCATTTCCAAAACCGATTTTCACAAACATACCAAAATTGGTGTTCCGAAATCATGCAGTTTATTGCCATGTCACATCCTTCATAGAAGGCTTTGGTTTCAGGCTTGAATTTTGTTAGTGGTGCATTGCATTTTGAAACTGGTGACAGCATTTCCAGGAAGGCTACAGCGCCATGACACCCATTTCAGTGTTTGCAATACTTTAATTTGCCAGTTGGCCATGAAGGCTTGCTGCCGCCTGCAGGCTTTAAAATCTACAGGCCCCGAATGAAATCTGCAGGCCCATTTTGTTAAAGTAGAACCAATAAAAACAAATTAGACTTCACTGTACACGGTTTCAGTGTTTCTACAAAACCAATTAGCGAAGCCTATGGCGCAGAGAGAAGTATTTATTTGTTAAAGACTGGTGTTGATATTCCTATGCGCAAAGCGCTGGAATACCAGGAAGTGAAATAGTAAGTTATCGTAACGTGATGGATCATGAATGATTCCCGAACGTTAATAAAGAAAACAATTATGGGAAAGATTCCAGTTGAAAAATGAAAATTGACACATATTTTACTGAAGGTCACAAGGGCCTGCAAATATTTGAAACTGCCGGCCCGATACAACAACAACCAGCCGCGGGCCTCCGGGCCAGCGATTATTTCGAACGCTGACCCACATACATGTTTTTTCTACACAGGTCAGCCCTCGCCAGTTCAAAGCACTGCAGAGCTGACAATGGGACTGAGACACGCATGAAATAACATGATTGTCCTGTCATAGTTCACTCGTGTTATGTAAAGCATCGCACCTGCTGATACTATTATCTAAGGTTCAAGGTGTATGCAGCGTCACGTCTACCTGGGCATAGCCTGCATGTGCATGCACTAGACACAGGGCTTTATACACACCTTCAACCACCAAAGCACACGAAATAGGATATCGTCGAACAGTTTCGTCATATAACCTTCCGCACGTACTCATACTGGCATTTACGTTACAGGTGTAACTCTGTAAGGATATCACGCCTGCTAAATCGTTAACCTACATCCCTATACGACCAGGACCATGCACAAGTCCACAATAACAGTAAGTGATACTTTATACTGTCATATTGTACAATATTGCTCAGCCTGATCAATAATTACTGTTACATGCATTCAGTGGGATGTGCAGTTGAAGGGGGCTTATTTCTAGCTGGGCGTAATACATGTTGTAATCATTGTTGATTCGTAGTGTGACGGGCAGGATCTTGTGGTTGACAAGACAGGCCAGGACATTGTCTTTGTGACTGACAAGCGAGGAAACTCCATGCAGCTACAAATGTTTGAGGGCATCCTGTACGGCACCGTATACAGACGGGCGGTTTTACAGCAGATTAAACACTTCCAGTTACGAGAGGATGACATTTATCTATCAGCGTATCTCAGAACAGGTTAGTGAAAGGGATGAAGGTTGAATTTCACCCGTGAAGATCCGGGTTAGAATTCACCATCCATGCTTGTCGTCAGAGGCTACTTTCGGGATCGGTTGGTGAGACTCGCTGACTTGATTGAAACATGTCCTAGTATCCCCGTTGCGTAGATCGATGCTCATGATGTTGATCACTGAATCGTCTGGTCCAGACTCGACAGGTTTACAGATCGCCGCCATATTGCTGGAATATTGCTGGGTGCCGCGTTGAACAACGAACAAACAAGAACAGAAATAGTGAGAGACATCTGTCGTCGCCATATATCTTTGAGACCAACGAGAAGCGTTGTGGTGCTATGGGCTCATGGATCATATTCGGTTATCTTCTGATTCTTATATTTGTATTTCATCCCATGCACATGTGCCTGATTTATATATATCCCTCTAACTCACTCCGGAACCATTGAACGAAATGAATCCCCAGCGTAGTTCCTTGCGATGGTGTAAATCTTTGCCCATACTATTAACCACTGGTCACCTTGTATACCTTTTAGCTATTTACAAGTAGTCATGCTAAACCCTGCATTGTGCTGATACAATACAGCATATCCATTATCCGATACAGCCAGTGAGGATCATCTGGCTGTTAAAGGGCGCACGCACGCGCACACACACACACACGCGCGCGCGCACGCACGATCTCCCATCCACAAATACAAGAACATAGCACACATAAAAGAGGTGGCCATTTTTCTGTATATAATATAACACGAGCAATGTTTGGGCGTTGCATTTGAACACAACTACTCAGAAATACTTTTTCTGTAGTCTCCAAGGTGATAAGCTGGTGAAAATGGAACAAATGGCTACCTGAATATCACCTGGTATCAGTGTCTGAAGTTGCTCACCATATTGCCGGATCTGACTAGAAATATATACTCATGCTAATAATGGTTGTCACCCCTTCTCCCCTACCCCACCCCCTCTCCAGTTAAAAAAGTTGAAGGGGGTGACAACCATTATTGGCATGAGTATAATTATGCTACACGGTTATACACACAGATCGGGCATAAAGTACTAGGATATCACAACAAATATAATACATGTATATTCTCTGAAACTGCCATGGACACCAATAATTAGATACGAGGTTTACCAAAATACAGCCACGAAGCAATTGGCACCATGCTCAGTGACAGTAAAACCACTGACATCCTATCCACTTGATGGGCTGACATGTGTAGATCTGCATTAGGGAATACCATTGTATTCTAATGATTGGACTTGCTTTTTAGAGCAGAGAATTTTATATTTTATAAAGGATCATAGCCTTCTGATAAATAATACGGATCCCCCAAACTTTCTATACAGCTCAAACAAGGTATTCATCAGCAAAAAAGTTTTGATTGCAATTACATCTTCGTATGCACAGACAATATGATAGCAAAGACGCTAACATCGGCCAACATACATGTATGGACATTTACACTCATTGATCAAACGACGAATTTACTCCAAAATCTTAGCCCAGAACAAGATTTGTAATACTGGGTTAAGCACGCATAGAAAGTTTCAGATAACAGTTGGACACACACACGCACGTACGAGCACACAAACGCACGCGTGCACACACACACCAAGATTACACAATATTATTCAGTATTTACATGCAACTGGAACTACAAGCGGTTTCGGTTTTAACATTAAAGCAAAACAGAAAAGTTCACGCCAGCTAGGTCAGATACCATGGAAAGTCCTCACTCGTTCAGTGAAAATGGGGGCGGTGGGGTAGCCTAGTGGTTAAAGCGTTGGCTCGTTACGCCGAAGACCCGGGTTCGAATCCCCACATGGGTACTATGTGTGAAGCCCATTTCTGGTGTCCCCCCGCCGTGATGTTGCTGGAATATTGCTAAAAGCGGCGTAAAACCAAACTCAGTCAGTCAGTCAGTCAGTGAAAATGGAATCTGACGAGAACAACTTGGGTCTTCTATATATATTTCCATTCAAAAGTTTAGACCCACTAATGTAAATAGAGCCACTTACTTCAGGCAACTGTTCTAAACTTAATTTTGCGCAATCTTCCATACTGTTTAAAATTGTACTGTTTACAGTGAACTGATGTATTGTAAAACAAATTCGTACAGTTGAAAAGATTATTGTCATGAGTTCAAGAAATGATAAAGCTCAGTGAAAATTGGCGAATTCTTAACAAAACTTTACACCAAAACGCAGTAGTTCACATGCATGATATTTGCACATGCTTTTCAGCAATTTGATGCATGATCCTCGTGCAATTCATCTACATAAGGTTCCCCCAAGTTGGTGGTGAAATCAATCCTCAATGTAACATATATATACATAACATATAGTGAGTGTTTTTAGTGAGTCTAAACGTTTGATCTGCCCATATCAAGTTAAGCACACTGACTTTGTATCATTTAGGAACACATTGGACGTTTGAAATGGTTGGTATGCTGCTCAATGGAACTGCTGAAACAATACCCAAATTCAAGGGAAAGAATCAACTAGAATTCATGACGAATGATGAACTGAGTAGTCTCCCCTCTCCAAGAATCATCAACACTCACTTCAAACTTTCTCGTGCACCAACACAGCTAAGAGAAAAGAAATGCAAGATAATCTACAATCTGAGAGATCCAAAGGATGTTGCAATCTCACTCTACTGGGCATATATGGATGGAGGGCTATCTGGCTACCAGGGCACATTCACAGATTTTCTAGAACTTTTCTGCAAAGGGACAGGTATGTTTATCCATAGTATATCTTTTCAAGGGAAGTTAAACACAGATCCTTGTTTCAGAATTACAAGGCCTTGCTTCGTTGAGACCGAACTAGGATTAGGATTAACCCTGTTGGTACCCTTTTATTCACGACTTCTTATCTTGCTTTGTTTAAAGGCACAATGTCACGCCACATTTCTCGAAAAATACATAATACATTTCTCTCAATAATACTAACTATCAGCCCTTAGGGAATCTACCATATAATTTATTCCAAAACAAATTACGTATTTAGATTACAATATTAAATTAAAAAGTTCGAATGAATTAATGCAACGCTGCATTAAATCGACTCTCCCGCCCTCTACCAGCCGAACATCATTTCAAGCGAATTCCATAGAGTTATGCCCCTTGGAACGCTCTTTACGAATATTCTGCAGGTTTCAATACACTAAACCAGAATCACATGCTCCCTGAGCAAGAACCGTGTGTAAACATCGGAAGAAATAGAGACATGTGACAGCTATGATTGGATGAAATAGTGTAAGATTTTTATGTTTTTTAAAAGCACATGCATCCAGTAATTAAAACTGACCACGATTTTAAGTATTACGTGCTGTCATTTTTATCACCATGACTTATGCTTATTGTGTGTACAGATGTTTTCCAGTAGGTGACATTTGGTGCGGAACTGGGGTTGATGTGTTCAGCTTCCTCTGCTCGGAAAATTTGCCGGAAAAGTTAGCCGGAATTTGTGTTTATTGTAGTTTAAAGGCCAGACTGTACCCATGTGTACATGGAATGACTGTTGATAGCCTGGATGATTTAAAAAATATATAACGTTACTATAGAAGTCTATGGGAAAACATTTGGTGTTGTGTAACCTGTAACGCAACGTGTGATTTAGGCCAGTTCGGCAAACACCGACAACACCGCGTGCGACAACACAGGGCTGTTTGGAAGCTGTTCGCCTCGAAGTTTCAATTATCGATTTCAGGCAAGTCGTAAGGGATAATAAGTCTTTTATTACATCAATAGGAAGCTAAAGTGAGTGCATATGCCCCCAATACATATAAAATATAGTCCAAAATACTGTCGAAAATGTGTGACATTGTGCCTTTAAACCTCATTGAACACTTGTGGGACGAACCTGGCAGGCGAGTTTACAGACGTCAGCCACTGCCAGCCAACGTTGCAGATTTTACCTTGGCACTGCAACAAGAACGGAGGAACATTCCTATGGCCTTTATCACTCGTCTCTGTAACTCTATGCCCCAACGTATCCATGCCTGTGCGAGCTGATTGAGGCCACACGAGATACTGACTGTGATAACGGGGGTGCCTCAGTTTGGAAGACACTGTGCTGTCGACAACATTCCATTCTTTTCTTCAACAGACTGAATGCTTATTCCATGTGCTTTTCATAAATAGTAACAATTAATTTCATCGCATGTCTTGTTTTATTTTTTCTCATATCAAATTCGGCTATTCGTTTTCAAAGTGTCTCAGTATATGTTATGGTTGAGTAAAGCGTCACTCTATAATATAGTATGAATCAATGGAATGGGTGACCCAGTTATGCGTAGCATCCACTGAGCATATTGTAAAAGTATCATAGTATGTACACGTATTCAGGCAACAAAACCCCCCAGATATATGAGGTTTACATCACAATCAATTTCCAAAGTTGAAATACTTTTCTACTTATGCATTGCGGACAAATTTGCATTGGCTCCTAATTTGTGAGTTTGTGGTCTTTCTGTAACCTCGTTTTGAACATTTTAGTTGACAGCAATGGGATGTTTGAAAACCTGCGAGATGCTGAAACATTCTTTGAAGAAAATCCTGATATACAAGTGCACTTCCAAGTTTACGAGGAGACAATAAAGGTAACTAATGACAAAATTCAAACCTTCAAAGATACCGATGTAATTTTAACATGTTAAAGAGTCAAATATTATTACTGAGGTTTTGAGTTATTTGACAATCCACATGGTTTTAATTCCACTTGAAAACATAAATGTAAAAAAATAAATAATAAATGATAATAAAACAAATAACAGTCCTTCCTCCACAATATTAGGAGACGTAAAAACCGTGAAGAGAATGAACGGTACAGGCACATGTACTACTGGACTCTTATCTCTTTACACCAATTGGTTGAATTTTGAAGGAAAAGAAAACAGAAAAAAGACACCTACAACGGATTCTCGGTTCTGTAAAGCTGCCTTTGATACATGTATTTGTAACGTCATCACGATCTGTGGGTTTGCAACGTTTTAACGACAGTTTCAGTGACATCTGTAAGCAAGTGAAACTGCGTCCACAAACTATCAACCACTTTTGTCAGTGTGGTCCAAAGAAAACACAAAAGACTATTTTGCTGTATGCCATACCTTGAACGCACATGTTGCACCGCTACTCAAACGGCAGATTGGGTTGTTTTCCCCATACAACTTGGAATGCATGTAGGAACAATGATTTCGTTGATCAGATACTGATGTCAGGTCCTATGGGCGTGCCTCTCGGGCCTCCATGCGGAGCAGTTTATATGATTGTGATTATTATGATTTGTCTGATCCTTCATTTCGCTTCATATTCAATTTATCCTTTTGAACAACAGAGATAATTGGTATCACATAAGCATGATGGTAACACGTCTAATTTGTCTTTATAAAAGGATCCTGCAGCACAAGTGAGAGCTCTCTCTGACTTTCTTGGGCTTGAGAGAAATCACGAACTGTGTTGTGCCATTGCGGAAAAGTGTACCTTTGCAAGGATGAAAGCTGACAAGGACAAGTACTCAGTGAAAGTCAATGGGAAAAACTTCTTTTACCGGAAAGGTATTATATCATGCAAAACAGGACCTAAGTAGATACTTTGACATTCGCGAAGCATGCAAATAGACAACGAATGGTATGAGTGTGTATCATGTATGATTTCTACTGATCATTACTGAAGACAAAATATTTGACCAGTTTTCGCGGGTCGAACGGAAAACTCGGCCAGTGAAGAGCTTGGTTAGAATTGGTTTTCAGTAACCCATGATTGTCGTAAAAGGCGTCTAACGGGATCGGGTGGTCAGGCTTGATGCTCGTATGTTATATTTGGGATTACACTTTCTTAGTTGGTTGACACATGTCATCGTATCCCAGTTGTGTAGATCGCTGCTCATGCTGTTGATCACGGGGTTGTGTGGTCCAGATTTGATTATTTACATATAAATTATTGCTGAGTGCGGCGTTAAACAACAAATCAACCAACGAATAGAAAACTCAAACGCAATAAAGTGATGGATAAATGTGACTTAAAGCGGCCGTTGATATAAAGTACCATATATTACCGACCTGGTGAACACTGAACCCTTTTAGGAAGGATGCAAGAAAGAACATGTAATTGCCAAATTATCTGTTGTTAATGTGATGTCATGAGTTATATGAATGGTTTGAGTTGTGATGATGATCTTGTGCAGGTATCGTTGGAGACTGGAGGAACTGGTTCACGGAGGAGATGTTAGAGGAGTACTACCGTGTGTATGAGGAGAAGATGGCCGGGTCAAGATTTTATGAACGTTACGCCAGGAAGAAGATCGATAATACAACTTCATGACTCAATTCGGGAGCACCATTCCCTAATCATTGTTACCGAACACTAATTACCGGTGACGCCATTAAAATCAGAATACAAATAGAATTTTATGCGTGAATGAAACATTTTATTTCCTGTTTTTCCTGTAGCATGAATAATCACTTCTCGAATACTACACCGTGACTTGTCAATAACTTCAACCTCTGCCTCTTGAACAGGTGCAATTCAGGCAGAAACAGGTGAAAATACATCAGAGGACCAAAGTGGACACTTTAAGCTTCTTCAAGGTAACTGAAGAAGTTGTGCTGGAACCCGTTATACTGTGGACGTCGACGGAAGGGAGTAAGCATAGCATTATTTTCCCGAAATAGAATCCGCTGGGCTTAAAGTGCCAAATTGAGGTGGAAGGTATTTGAATCAATTACTGAAATTGCGAAATCACAGCGTGTAATCTTGATATAGATAAAGCATGAAATATTTGTCGGGGCATACATCATGGGAAAGGATAACTTTCATAATAATTGTCTTATTTGCTTTCTATTATTCCCTTTAATGGATAAACAGATACTAATTTGCAGGTTTTGTTAAACCGACCCAAAGGATACTATTTCCCCTGTACCCTGTCTGACAGGATACTAAAACCAGAACTTCGCCATGTCTCTCTCTCTCACACGCACGCACGCACGCGCCCAGGATATTTCTCCTAATTTAACGCATACAGAATACTAAAGAACATAAAATCTTATAGCGTTCGCTCGTCACGCTTAAATGCAGAAGTATTGTGTAGACACTATCGACCTTAAGATGTTGAGAGCTCTTTTGGGTATCATCTGGCTATTTCGATATTTGCAATTAGCAGCCAACGTTACTGATACCGGGTAAAGCCACCTGTGTCGGCCAGACATGTACGAATTCTTCCAGATGAGTAGCCCAATGTCATCTTGATTCATCCGTGGGAGTTGCAACAAGTAGGGAGGGAATTCTTAAGACTATGGAAGTAATGTAGTAGTATATACAATGGGGGTTCTGGATCACTTTCAACCAAAGCCTCTGCAAAGCCTTATTTCACAAGTAAGGCTTTGGTCGGACCCTTAGCTCTTGCTACCATTACCCCTACTATGAAAAAGTTTGGGCCGATAGCGGGATGCGAACGGCACCTCACAATCGCGCTACTGAGCTACCGGGGGCATGGCTGGAGTGTGTTGGTATCCTGGGATTGCACCATCCAATACTGGGCTGCGTCTAACGTGCCGCTATGGCACTATTGTGCCGCTATGCCATGTTTACCTCGATGAAACAGTTTAATGTGAATCGCCTATGATCTCTTTGGTGTTTGTAATAAAGGCTTGCCGGGCTTTTTTCACCCCTTGTTCTATGTACTTTTTTTTCTCGTCCTCGCTGATAGTAGATTTACGAGACTTGGATCGAATCTCTTGTTTCATTTTGTTATATTTTTCGAGTTCAGAGAGGATTGAACGAAATTCCTCCTCTGAGATCTTACTGTCAGTGAGTGCAGTGGAAATACGCTCACTTACTGTGTTCAGCTTTGCTTCAGCCAGAACTCTGATCTCGTCGTGTTTCAATGCCTTATGATGCAGTCTGCGTGATGCCAACTTAAGCGCCAACCCTAACACCCCTACCACCCCAGCTGTTATTTCAATACCTAGCACCACGGGGGTAGCCACGATGGTAGCTAACAACCCAACACCTGCCGCTCCCAGTCCCATGCTGGTTGCCATAAGGGCAGTGTCAGCCCCGTCCACGATATTGAAAGCTCTATGGTACTTCTTACACAGTGCTTTACGCGTGTCGCGGTCTTGTTCTAGTTGGCATTTCACATCACATAACTGCCTCAAACGGAACCCGTCTACGGTTTCCAGGGTCTTCGCTACTTCCTCTACGACTGGGTATAGCCCCATCCTATAATATATATTACAAAAGATATTTTAATTGGGTTTCATTTAACAGTCGATCAACGTACTTGAGGCTTATAAGGAATAAATCCTCATGTAGGAAAATAGGTGAGAATTTAATAGGTAACTCTGCAGCCACAATAGCCCCTCGTCGGGGTTAGTGAGTGGGTTATGGAACCCGTTGAGGGGTCCAGTTGTATGATGATACGGTAACGTTTACTACGGGTCTGGGGAAACCAGAGTACTCTGACCCCAGGTAAAAGTTGTTGTAATTCCTTATTACTATTAACTCTATCGAGATAGACTTCTATGATAAGTGTGGAGCCTGGTACCATAGGACGGAATCCCTATGTGCCCGTAGCAGTCATACCTTTAACTCACCCGTGGAATGACTGTAACCTATTGCTGTATGCCAGATACGAGTCCGGCTCAGAGCAGAGATGACAAGGACAATAGGATCAAGCTATGACCCGCATTATACACTGGTGCATACAGGTCATACTTCCTTCCCATTCCCCTGGTGAACGCCAAGCTCACCTGTGGGAAGACCTTGAGAAAGACCCTTTATCGAACACGCTTTGAGCCTCTATTAGCTGCTAGCTGTACCACAAATATGGTATGTTGAAAGGCCCCGGTGACGGGCGGCGATTATTACGGCAAAGCATTGTCAATTTGAGAGGAAAAATAATAATACTATTAGTATAGATGGATGCCGCATTGCGAGGAGATGGGGAAACCCTGCTGAGGAGACCCCAGCACCCCAGACCTCCTTCAGAGGGGATCCTCCTAATTGGGGAGACTCTCAAACTGAGGGGAACTCCTCACTGGAGGTGACCCTCCTCGGTGACCCTACACTGGTGTAAGCAGAAGAACCCTAAGAGTAGCTGCCGGTAAAACGGTGTGGTGTAACCAACATAAAATTGGTCAGGTGACTCACCACCGACTCTTGTTGGCTGTAGGCGAATCAAGGCCGTGGTTATCTCAAGGTTAAATATATACACGGCACACAGGAATCCCAAGGATCCGGAGGGAACCTCACAGGGATTCCGGGAGCCCCACACAATTAGAGGTCAACCCACATATCATGTTATAATTTAATATTTTATATCATATACATAATGCTCCGAGGGGAAAATCGTTTCGTCAACGCACGATACCACGCCACAGTGGTCGTGCTTGCCCTAGCTGTAGGATACGCTCGGTTGACCAAAATGGTGCTTAAACAACCAACCATCAAGCTTAGATTTCAACCTGCAGGATATGGGTATGCGCTATAATGAACCTTGGTATGGCGATGGCTACAAAGACATCCTAGTAAACAAGGATACTTACCTGAAAATATTATGAAGTAAATATAGATGGCTACGATCGCCATGATGGTTGGGTGGGCGTTAGTAAATGCCCTAGCATTTTCCGGGAGTAATTTCCTCTTCTCTAAACTACGAGTCACACACGGCTGAAATACAGGAAGAAAGAAAGCCGCATAATCTCGCTTATTGAGAAATTACAGACAGCACCAATCCGGAGTATCGCTTAAAAAACGCCTCCAGAGGATCGATTTCAATCTAACAACTCAGGCGCTGGAAACCATGCCGCTCAAACATTCCACGTCACGTCGACGCTCCACGCAATTAGAGAATACTTCTCTTACACAGGTAAAACGGCCGGTAACCGGGCCAATAAACCCACACTCGCCAGTACTACACACCATCCAAGGCAAATGGACCGCGGAACTGGTATTCATACGCGCTTGGTATAGCAGCCACTGCGCGCTTTGGTTGGCGTAAACAATTCAGGACTAAGTAACTGTTATAAGTATGCTTAAACATGAGACCTGCTCCATACCGATGCGAATACATACTTATGGGGAAGAAAGAACCCCTGTGGTAAGAAAATGCAGGACTAGGGGTACTGTTGGTTCCATTACGGGAAGCCCTAACTACGCTGCGGTTCTGTGTGTGGTATAGGGGTTAAAGGGCACTACTGTTCATGTAAAGCCCACGGGCGAACGTACGAAGTCAGACATCACCTCATCTACGAGAATAAAAGGCCTACATAAATGAACGTAGGCGACTTCTCAAGATAGCAGTGTAAGGCTGAGGAGCATACCTCCCTTGACAGTGGCCCAGTTAGAGATTAATATACACACCTACGATAGCCATGTTTGTGGAAATTGAGCCCAGGGAAGGTTGCCTGAGAAGCTGGCAGATGGATGTGGGGAAAAGTATAGATATCAGTGTCCCCAAACCCATGATTGTTAAAGAACTATATAAGTGCCTGCTTACAATCATGGTAAAAGTAGGGTCGGATGCCATGGGCTGGGCAAATTTGGAATTCACTTGATGGGGGCGCAGTAGATGTGCATGGGGATATAGATATACTTGTTGACAGTTCATGCTTGGTTCAACAACCCGATGCAGTTCTGGCAGAATCAACTCAACTTAGCCGCGTGTGGTGCTTCCAACGGGGTGTGGTGTGACATTAACCGACACTCGGCGTGGACCGCTGAGTCAGTCTGTGTTCACGTTCCAGGTCAGGCGTATCCTTAAAGAAATCAGCGCTTCGGTCCCACAGGACAAGGCGTGGAACGCAGTAAACAACCAGTACGATAGGCGGGCCTACGAACGTATTTGCAACGAATTCGAACTGAACCCGAAGACGGATTGGCGTTTGCCTGGACCGAACCACGGGTTGGGTATCCCCATCACAACATGCACCTCGTGGATGCCAGTTGAAAGAATGGGGATACAAGTCGTATCATCACCTAACAACCAACGAGTGGGATGACCGTTACATGGCTTTCGACAACAGCAATGATTACCGGGTCTGGAGGTTCGAGCAGGGGGCAGCGGATGACTGGAAAAAGTTCATGCTGGACACGTCGAAAGGATTCACTCGTGACGGGGTAATCAGGTTAAACGGCTCGATTCCGAAGCGTGCGTGTGGGCTGTTGGGTGTGCAGGCGCAAAGCGTTCAACATCCTCGGTAAGGGGACTGCTACGGCGGCTCAGAAACAGTTCGTTGTCAGCGTTGAGGATGCTATCAATGCTCCAGTTGATCTCCGAGTGCCATCAAACGCTACCAAGACGTGTTGGAATATGCCAGGTCGAGAAAGTCGACTCTGGCGTTCGGCGATGGGGTTGTACATGGCTCCGGCGATATGCAACTGAGAGTAAAAAAAGTGGTGGGCTACAACAACGAAATAGTCAT